TCAAACACAGTATAATCATAGTGTAAAGAAAACAAAAATTACTTCAACTTGAGTATATAATTCAAACTCCACAATTCAATGCATGTATACAATAATGTACATAGTATACATTTTATTTCTTGAACACTATTCAACAATGTCATAAATATCCCAAATAAATAATATACACTGTGCAATTTATATATATATATAAAAAAAAACAAGATCAACTAAATATTTTCAGATCTGAAATCTTATTACAAAAAAGGTACAAAGTCTAATTCCCCATTTAAGCCTGGAAGTTTAGTTGCTTTCAGTGTATAGATCCAGAAAGAGATCTATACACTATAGTGTATCGGTTGGAGTGTCCATTTGGCTGCTTCTATATAGGGATGACTACAAGGAAGTTAAAGATCAGATTAGCAGAACACAAGAATGCCATTCGAGTTTGTAACCCTTTATATCCTATGGCCCTTCATTATAAAGAGAAAAATCATGGTAGCCCAAGTACATTGAAGATAAAAAGTGGCATTACATAACAAAAAGGGATTAACTGATTAATTAGCAATTGACATCAGTTGAAAAGGAAAGCCAAGCTAGTTGACACATTTTAGTGAAAGATTTTTGAAAATATAATTTTAGGAGTAATATGTACCAATATATTACGCACAATACAACCGAGGATGTGTATTAAGACAGTAAATAGTGTCATTTTTGTGCCTTCCCTTACGAACATTAACCATGGTTTTACCACAAATAAAACCAAAAAACCATGGTTACTATAGTTAAACCATGGTAACCACAAATTAACCATGATTTTACTATACTAACTGTATTTGTAGTAAAACTATGGTTATACAAATGGTGATCAATACACCAAAAAAACATGGTTACTACCCTTTCACTAAAATAAAACCATGGTTAATTTTCGTAAGGGTTTGTAGGTTTTAATAGTCTAATAACACAGTTGATAACCTTTGTTTCACTTTTCTTCACCATTAGCCTTCAGCTGATAGCTTTCAGTTTCTAAAATTCCTCACAGAACGGAAACAAAATAATAAGTGGCAAAAAATGCCATTCCATTTTCTTTCCCCAAAGAAAAGCCTGAGGGAAAATCACTCAATTCTGTTTAACTCTATTGAATGGTAGAGCAGAAGCCAGCAGCTGTTTAACACCATAGCGGTGCGCATGTGATCACGGTAAACGCTGTACGGTAGCGTGCCTCAAACTGACAGGTGAATATTTGCTTAGCCGCTAAATGGATGTGGACAGCTATGGTGGTGTTAATGTGTTTTCCCTCCTAAAAAGTGTGATTTCTCTCTCTTTCTCTCTCTGACTGCTGTTGTTTTGTGGAGATGAAAGGCGGCCGGTGATAAAAGCAAAGAGGAGCGCTGCGGCAGTTTGTGTGTATGCGGCTCCTGTCATCACTTCCCCTGTGTCCCCCCTCCTCTCTGAGGGGGGAAGGGAGACTAAAGACCCGACTGTTTACACACACACAAAACACTCTTGTTTGCCTTTTCATGTTGTTTTTTATTTGTGCGGGACTTCTGTTGGCTAATATTTGTCGTTTATTTGGGTGGGATTTGTTTAGGTGGAGGAGTTTTGCAGAAGCCCGTTTTAGCTGGTAAGGGGGAAGCGTCTCAGCGTCTCACTGGGGCAGTAAATGGATAGACAGACTGGCATGGTGGTTGTTCCTGTCTCACCATGGCCTTTGGCATCATTAGCCTCACCACAGGTTTATCTGTAAGCTTACAGTAATCACCGATCAGCTGAATGTATTCCAAAGACACATCCTTTTATGGCTTATTTGGAGATTGATGCTACAACGGATCTGTTTTAGTGAATCAAATATACTACATATGTTTGCTTTATGTATTTATGCATGTATGTAGTATTTATTTATCTATGTTTATTGGTACAACATACTGTAGTACAGAGGTGAAACAACTGGGGATGAAAACTATGCATTATTACTAAATTAAATATGAAATATACATTTACATCAAAACATTGTTAAAAACTGACCAATATATTATTACAGTAAATCATAAAGAAGAAATTAAGCAGTTTCATAGTGCATATATCATGAAATTAAGCAGTTCCATAGTGCATATATCAGGAATTAAATAAGTCTTTATCAATGAATCATTTTCTCAAATGATTGATTCAAAAACAGTGATAGAAATGCCAATCACTCCTATGTTTTAGTCTGAGACACAGTTTGATTCAATTTCCATTGAGACCAGAGCTACACAATGTAAATGCTAATATTGTAAGTTTAAAATGGAAGTTAATCAATATTAATTTGTTGTTTATTGAACTGGATAGTATAAAAGCAATATCACTCTCACAATCGTGCTGTTTTTCTTGATACTGTGAGATGTTAATACGTTGAAATCTGTTATAGTTTCTTGTTGTTTGACAGCAGTGACAGCAGATACAAACAAAAATCTATACTTTTATTCAACGCAAAAAAAATATTTACATAATGATTAAACTGATTAAACATTACAATTCCCCCAACAACTCAAATAAAATTAATTAGAAAAATAACAATCTCCTGGTCGTTCTACACAGGACAAACAGAAGAGAGGAAGTTCGACGATTACATATCAAATTAAATCAAACACAATATAATCATGTATAAAGGAGAGGGAAAAAAAATAAGCTGAACTCAAAGATCTAAGACTTTTTCTATGTACATAGATACATAGCCGGGATAATCCGGCCCTCAAATGAAGCTAGTTGAATAGCCCTGTTATACAGTATATTCAGATGGAGGCATCAGAACTGCAAATGATAGAATGTGCGCTGTAGCATGATACTACGATATTTCTTCAAAAGTAGACTGTGGAGACATTTTAATTGTCCATGATCAAAAATCGCCATATTGCGCACTTCTAGTTGGCGCTATTGTCCGTGGCCATGGCAGTTATCTTGCCATAAAGAGATAATTAGCTGTACATTTCCTTTATCTCCTCAGCGATGACATTATACGTGCAGTGGCGGAGACATATTCCAGGTCGTCAGAAGTTTTCTTCAGGTCATCTCCATTTCCATATATGCCTTGTCCAAAAAGCTTGCAAATGTTTTGCGATCTGGCAACATGCCCCCTATCCATTTACCTGTCACTAGTATTTTGCTGATGATATTACAAAATGTAAGTGCCTCCACAGTGGACAGTGGCTGCATCTCCTTAACAATAAATACAGCAACCAATTTGTTGAGTTCAGTCGAACTAATTTCAGTCAGTTCAGTCGAATAATTTAGCATGAGGCAGGGTGCAGGTGTCAATTGGTTCTATCTCTATAGTGCTGTGCTTTGCAGTGTTGTGTAGTTGTTCTGGTGCTAATTCACACAATCGACAAGGTGTGTGAAAGAAAGAACAGTTGTTTTTGGACAGTGCCAGCAACACTTGTGTTGGATGGAGATAAAAAAAAAGTAATGTTATTCTTTTTTTTGCCAACATGGTTCGGCACACAGGCATTGAACAAAGCTAAAAGGTTACAGATAAGTTCCTTTAAATACAAACAAGGACTAAATAGAACTAAATAAAAAAATAGATAGTATACTATCCACCAATGACAAAATTCATCAAACAAATGATTACACATCAAACCAATAATCTACTTTCACTCAACACTATAAAAAATACATTGGTGCATTAGTTTTTTTTAATGTGAATATACAGTTGTATCAACAAACACGCATATACTTTTAATGAACATATACAGTATTACAACTATATTCAAGATTTTTGTAGAAATATATTGGGGGGAAAAAAGCTATGCAATACCCACTTGTATGGAAAACCTTATATAAAATGCTCTTATAAAAATTATTTTAAAACCAGTTCTTCATTAATCCCAGTAGAAAAACTTTTTAAATAAAAAAATCCAAAATGCCTCTCTTCTTTTTCTAATTAGACCAGTATATCATCATCTTACTGGAATTTGTATATGTTTGATACCAAAAAATTGAAAGGAAACAAGATTTCTTTCAAATGTCAAATTCTTTAAAATGTTTTGCTACTGTTTAAGTAGTATCACCTCTTTTTATTGAACTCCTTTGTTGTGCTGCCTGTGTGCTGTTATTTATTTTTTTTGAAGTGGTGTTTTATGCACCTGCACATAATCTATACTTAATGATTCCCTTCTCATTTTCTTCGAATATACAAATAATGAGAATACTTCCATCACATAAATGTAAAGCTCTGGCTTGCCATCTCATTTCGGACTAGTGTCTGTCCCATGCATGTCACGGGTGCACTGCTGAGTGGACTGAGGAGCAAGGAACAGAGAGAGACGAGGAGTACAGCAATCCAAATGGGTTTAATTAATAAAAAGGAACACTCATGCAATACATGTAGACATAGACAATACCAGATGCTGAACTCAAGACAGGAACCCTATTTAAACACATGACAGGATGAGGAGGGGACGAGACACACCTGGGATCCTTGTCCTCACCTCGGTCACACGAGAGCTGGACATGGAGGAGCTTGAACTGCTGCTGCTGCTGATGATGCGGCTGCTGCTGCTTCTGCTTTCAGAAGAGACGGGCCTGTTTTTATCTTCAGTCTCCAGGATTTCCCTCAGTTTCAACAGGAAAGCCTTTCCTTCTGGAGTCTCCTCATCAATGAAACTGATTTGCTTAAGGAGCCTCTCGGCAGCTCTAGGACCAACTTGGACTTCGAGCTCCAGTCTTTCAACAGCAGGACCTTCCGCTACAGCCAAAACAACAGACCCTTAATTAGGGAACTTCAACACAGTGCTTGGCAATCAAGGAACCATATCCGAGCATTACAACTTCACGCAGAGCTGGGATTGTGGAGATTTTCTCGTGCATAGCCAAACTCTGTTTGGCGAGATATGGATTGATTAGTTTAGGCAATATTTGAAGGACAGCATCTTAAAAGTATGGTTATATGAACCTACAGCTGCCAACTGCATTGTTTCCAGATCAGCAGTGACCATTTGCAGAGCAACCACAAGAGCCTGAATGAACTCTGGATGGGTAAGTTCACCTGTGCATTCAGCACATCTCTCAGTGTATGCCAAGCCAACGTCCTTCATGATTCTCTCCTGGCAGTGGCTCAGATCCTTAGACTTGGTGACGGTAATGTGGTTGGCCTTTGGGTCCTCACTGATGACATAGTGGGTCATGCACACTCCCTGAGCTCCAGCCTTAAAGGACGAGTCAAAGAATAAGATTGCAGAACTCAAAAAGGCTTTCTTAATGCCTTCAAAAATGTACTTGGATTACTTTCTCACCTCTTGCAGTTCATAGATGTTCTGGGTCTTCTTGAGGTTGAGCTGAAGGATGTTGAGGATACCTCTGTGTAAGTTCAGTACCGTAGGGGAGACTCCTGCAGGGGCAAATACCTTTCCAACCACACCATTAGCATACTCAAACTTGATGGGAATCTGAAGCTGAGCAGCCAGTGCTGAGGTGAGCTTAGTGGCAGGAACAAATGGATCATTGGGCCAAATACCAGCATACTCGTGGATTAGAGGATCCATGAGCTGTAAGGGGACATTTTCCATTTAAATGAGGGCATTGTTGCTTTTACCATCCAGTGATGGCATTTTGTTGTTGTTTTCTTTGTGTGATCTGAAATCTGTGGTTTTTAATGATCATTACCTTCATCAGGAAGGTATTCTCGTTGACGGCACTGAGGTGAACCTTGCTGTTGACTTTTATACCTGCTCTGGCCAAACCTTCTTGTGGAAGACCGCCCAAGAGAAGAGCCTCATAGTTGTACACATAGGTCTTATCAGGGGCAAACTCAGGGACTGAAAAGGGTAAAGTATTTTTGATTTAAGTCTGTTGTTATGACCATTAATTTTAAGTAGTAATGCAGTGTAAGTTACCACTTACAAACTAATTTTTCAAGTCATATTACTTACCAAGGTTGATCTGTTGACTTGCTGAAAGAAATAAAGATCAAAAATATATATTAAAAAAAAGGAATTTTCAAGAGGTTCTACGAGTTTTTCAAATAGGTATAAAGAGAGAAAATGAGAAAAATATATAGAAATATATTTTGACTTACCCACAAGGGCCACAGTCAGGGCAAGCACAACAGCTCTCATGGCTGATGGTTTGTAAAGAACACTTCAGAGAAACAGACCTTTTATAGTGTTTTCTTGCTGACTAAGTATTAACTCTTAAATTAATTATTAACCAATGTCTTTAAGTGCAAATCAAATTGTACACAAGAGAAAACTTAAGTCAACTTATTTGAACATAAATATCAGTTAGAGGTTAGGTTAACCTGGCCTGACAGTGACATTCTTCATGCCAACGTCTACAGTGAAATGCTGTACATTTGACTTTTATATTCAAATAGGTCATTCTTTTTCCAGTTCTGTCATGCACATAAAACAATGCTGAAGCAACAACATTAGGGTTTTTATAAATAGATAGCTATGGAGTAAGGTATAATACAGAAAACTAAATTTTTTTGTATACAAATAATAATTTTTGTTAACAGACCTGGCTTGAGGGCCAATCTAAGATATCCGTTCCAGGTTAGGTTACCCTGGCCCTTAATCTCAAAAATTGTTAAAGTCCATATCAGTTTGTTTATTTATTTTAATGTAAGACTGCATTAACATTGGATGAACTTTGAAACTAGACGTGGCATGATCTGTGGACAGTTTTATAATAGTTAAATCAAGTTATTTTTATTAAACGCATTAAGAAAGGGTATTATTGCAAATATTCAGTAACAGCAGTAGACTTCATTACCATTGAGCATGGCACCTCACACTTAAATAATCTGATTTAAAGATGAAATCATATTTTCAGAGACCATAAATAATAACTTCCATCTTTTTTATAATTTGTCATCTAGTGAGATCAACTCAGATCAGCAAGGACAAACCTATTTTAGTACTGTACAGAACTTTCATCCAAAAAGGGAACTTTTTAATGTGTGAGTCAAAACAGTGTTTTGCTTAGTCTCATTACAAATAAACAGATGAAAAACAGTTGGAAGCACTTAAAAAAAGAAAAGTGTCTGTGAAGTTTCAGCTCAAAATACCCCACAGATCATTTATTATATCATTTTAAAAATATCTATTTTGAGTGGAAGCAGAAACACGCTGTTTTTCATGCCTGTCTCTTTAAATGCAAATAAGCTGCTGCTCCCCGCCCCCTTTTCCAGAATAGAGCTGCGCCATTACAGCTCGTACTTGCTAAAAAACATCTGTTTTGGTTCTGATTATCAGTGCATCCAAAGACAGAACAGTTAGCATGTTTTGCTCAAACTTGCAAAATCTAAATGACGGCGCCGTGGGTGGAAATTTACAGATTAAGAGGCGGTAATATTAAAATGAGATCCCTTTGCCACGTCACCAAGGGAGCGAAATCAGACGCGCTCGTTTTTTCAGACCTTGCAGAAAAAGGCTTACCAAAACAAAGTTACTGGGTTAATCTTTTTCACATTTCCTTGGTTGGTAGATGCACCGGGGACCTGATTATAGCACTTAAAACCTGGAAGTCAGATTTTCATGATATGTCACTTTTAAAGTTTTAGAGTGGCTAGGTTTGCCTTAAATGCTGCTACACACACTGTCTTTGCTGTCAGTTTGACTTCCGCACAATGTGCATTGTTAACAACACGGTTTATTGTTTTTACATGTAGTGTCGGAAGTGTAAGTTGACTAAGCCACCACCTAATGAAGGCAGGAGGAGCCCTCCACAAATCCACAATACTAAAACTACTAAAAAAAATCTGACTTATTTTTCTAGCATAGATCATCAAAGATTAAAACACCAATTTAAAACATCTGGGTGTCAATAATAAAATCCATAGGAGGAAATCTTTCCTCAAGATTGCAAGAAGGGTCAGTCCTGATCACTTGTAAGAAAACAAAAAGAAACCTCACAGCATGCATACACACCACATAGCCTGTGCCACACCACCTGGATCACCTACACCAAAGGAGGCTAAATGTCTATGCAGGCCCTGCCCTGTACAAAACCACAAACCACAGTAACAAACAAAAAGAGGAGGGCAATGCCACACAGATAAAAAAAGCAAAATAAAACAAACAATATTTAATACAATCCAGTGAAATCAAATATCTAATCAAATAAAAAATAAATAAAAGAACACACACACAAATTAAAAACACATGAAACAGTGACTTGTCTGCCCTTTTAAATAAGGAAACCATACATATTATTTACCAAACAAGACAACCAAATGCAACTTTAGTGAAAGTACACGGCTGTAAACCACAGTTACCAAATCTCAGTGCTCAGTCCTCAAAATGAAGAGGGAATACTAGAAACAAAAAACACGAATATTAGTCCCCTCAACAAAGAGTTCAGTGTACCAGTCACTTAAATCTCATAAGTAGTCAAATTCAATAAAATACTCTAAGCATATGCAATTTACCGGTAATTCAGCACTCATACACAGCCGTCAGCCCATAGGAGGTACTGCAAAGGTAAATATTTCTCTGCCTCACTTCCCCCACAGTGAGTGGAAACAGTCAATTAATCCCCCCACCCCACCCAAAAAGGGATCACATTAGCAGGGGAGTTGCGCAATCATATCACCAAGAGTAGCTTAAAATAACCCCTGGACCACAGCATTCAGGTAGACCCAGATAAAAATTGTATTTTTATTTATTTATTTAATTTTAGGTTCCTGATGATTATTTACATCAAATTTCGCATTTTCCCTGGTTGATATGCCAGTTAACATTTACAACACTGTTCTGCATAAAATATGAATAGTAATAATTTTGCAAATTCACTCTTTGCCAGATGGTGGCGCTTATGTAGGGTGACCATACGTGCCATTTGCAGACTGATCGGTGTATGACATCAAAGTACCATACAGACGGTTATGCTTTCGAAACGCTCTCGAGGTACTTTGATGTCAAACACTGATCGGTCTGAGCCGCACTGCTTTTAAGTCGAACACACCTAATATGTACGCATAATTGCATCGCTTTGACCGTAGATCCCACCTTCTCACACGCCATGATTGGTCCATTATGTACAATGCCTGCATGTTATTGGTCAAACTACTCTTTGATCATTACCTGCAGCAAGCATGAAAACAAAGCCAAAACAAATCCTGGCCAGGACGCGTCCAGGAAAAATGGCACGTATGGTCACCCTACGCTTATGGAACAGTAGAATTATAGCTGTTGCATAAAGTATACACTATGTTACTACAGGCATAATACAGAGATTATATGAAAAGAAAATGTGGCCGAAATATGAGTTAAACACCATCAATTACACAAAATTGTACACAAAAACATTATCATCAGTAGACTGAAACTATCACTTGGTAAGGTGGCATAAATGTGGGCTATTTGGTGATTGTTAACTGCGTTTTTTTTATTTTGAAACATGCTGTGCTCACATTATTTAATTAAATCATAGCCATTTAAAGTTAAGCAATATTACGATTCCTGATTTAAAACCTCCTGAAATTAAAATTGAGACTTTGAAGCAGCACCCCTAATGGAACACAGTGACTGAATCTAAAACCTTCAGTTTTTAACCTTCAGTGTAGGCCCCTGGGATTCAGCCCGTTGAAGCCCATGTGTTAATGTGCCTCTGCATATCGCAAGCACAAACAAATCACACTATTAACCCACATACCTGTATGAAAAGGTCAAAGAGGGAAAAATGCTGCACGTTGAGCACAACTTCAGTGATGAACCAAAATCACAATATGGCGCTGCAACCACTATTAATTCCTTCTCAGTCATTGACTTGCTACCCACACCTGAAACTCATTACAAACCAATTCCCTCCCACATACATTTTCTTTGGTGCAGATTTTTCACCTGATTTATAATAAGTAAATAAAAATGTTGCCAACTAAACAGAGGTCTTCCTGCAGTTTTCCATCGAAATAAAATTCCCAAGGTCAAACACATTACATTGAATTAAAACAAAAATGTATCACTCTTTTTATGTTACTATTTGTATCCCCAAATAAAAATGTTATTTTTATTATTAAAATACTTTTCAATGCAATATTAATGTCACAAATGACCTTTTTACTATATTGTTATACGTATTACCCTATTATTAAATAAAAAAAAAAAGTGTCTATGAGGGGGTTCCCTTATCGAATGGTCTCTCCCTTTGCGTTGAACAATTATGGGGTAAACTCCTGGGGCCTGTTTCATAAAAGACACTAAGAAAAGTGGGGATTAAAGTCAATCACCTGACTTGAAATAACCTAACAAATCAATCGGGGCTAAAGCGGTTCCATAAACGACAATTTAAGTTCACGCAATCTCACTAATTTGATCGAGGTTCACGGAGTCAAAATAATTTGATGTGCACGTTTATTCTTAGGCAGCCCTTAATGTCAATCATGAATCAAAATGATCCACCATGACAGAGAGCAAATATATTTGTGCTGATTAATGAGTTATATTCTTTATCTGTAAATGTTTGAAAGTCATGCAAAAATATCCATTTTGCTAAACAGATGGAGCGCAATAGAATAGGAGTGCAAACATTTTGAGTAAAAAATACCTTTTGCTAAAATATTTGTTGTTGGGCATTAAATGTGACGTAGAAACCTACAGTGTATTTTTATGATAGCAGTAACCAGGGACGTGCCATAAAAAAAAGCCTTTTATGGGCATTTCTACCTTTATAAAGCCATTTTTTTTTCGAAAAGTGTGCATCATCTTTTCAGTCAAATTCCTAGATTGAATCAGTCAATTAGAATAATAAGTAATTTGGGCTATTACCAAGCAAAATAAATCAGTATTGACAAAATAAATCGTTGCAATGCATTTAGATGTATTTACACACTGTTTAATGCAGGACATGAATGTATTTAACCTGCAGTTACAAATACATTAATACTGTTTTGATATTTTAAACATAAAAGGTTGAATACTGATATTTGAAATTATAAATAAAAATGTAAAAAATAAATAAAAGATACTTTAAATGTGAAATTAAAACCGCCATTAGGTGGCAGCACGTCACTGTTAATAAGTGAGCCATTGCGACTGAACCGAATCATTTAAACGGTTGATTCATTCAGGAACAAAATAACATCATGTTGCTCAGAGACGCAAATTGGAATTATATTTGTTGGCGAAATAGAGTGAAAACAGTCAAT